GTAAAAAAAATGCAGGATTTAAAATGTATATAATAATTTGTCTAATAAATATATATAATAAAATGAAACACTTACTTTTCCACCATAGGAGAGCGCTTGCACGTTCTGCCGGATAAGGCGGGTGCAACAGAAGCAGGAAATTGATCTTGCAACCAACGAACTTGTGTTGCGGGGCCATAGCCTTTATCATTGCGGGCAGCAATCCGAAAAATTATCGCAGGTTTTGTCGAAGTGTCGATATGCGCTTGAGATAAGTTGGAATTCGACACCACACAGTGAGGGTCAGGGCCAACGTAGACACGAACGAATGCCAACTGATTATCTACTGCTAAGAAAAACAGTTGTTTCATTTTAATGCTGGAAACTGGAAAGATAACATGAAAGGTCACTGGAAATGTCCCGCGCCTTGGTGATTATTCGTCATCAATTTCAAAGACAAATACAAGCATATATACCATATTTTTTTGAACAACGTCCCAAATGGAGGGTACGCATAACGAAGCAACTTATATAATCTGTATGCCTTACTGTATCAACAGTCGGTGATATACCGTTACATGTAAAACTACAGCTGCAAGGTACCAAGTTGTACTTACATAAACCGAAGCGAAAGGAAGAGATGAATAAGAAGATAAAATCTGAGGAAGCGATGGCATGTGTAACTGTACGAATGTCAGTTTTATATGAACTGCCACGATATACACGATTTCTAACACTGTTTATTCACGGCGTGACATCGACCTCTGCTTAAATGTCATTAATCAGTAAGCTCGATTTTTGCAAGCTAGAGCATCTAATTTCATAGTATGTCTCGACCGAAAAACAAAGAAAAATCGGATAGCAATGTTTTCAGAGGTGAAGTATCACAATGACACTTTAAACATATTATAGACATGAATGGCGTAGAACAAGTCACTTGCACAACGTAAGGCCGAAGCGAAACGGAATGGAAACTGCTAGCCAAAGATGTTTCGTACCATGAGCAAACAGAAGAAAATAACAATACAAAAAACTTACTGTTCTGGTTATTTTTAATGGCAAGATACACAGAATATTCAGTGATCCTGCCGGAAGTATTCTGAGGTGGTTCCCAAGACAAATGAGCGCCATCAACGCTCTTAGTAATTTTTATAGACGATGGTGCTCCAGGATAACCAGGGACACATGTCTTGAATCCGGTCACTTCTGACCATGGTCCACGACCACACGTATTCAAACCGGCCACGCGAAACCTATAAGCCGTTCCCGCTTGCAGTTCAGCCTTCTTAGTGTATTCCATATGACTTGGGCTAACGTTGACGTTGTATTCTTCCTGAAACGGGGCAGCATTCACTCCGCGTCGAAAAAATCATCTTTCCGCACATACCGCTTCATAATGATCTTCTAACGTCATATCGGACTGGAGAAAATAACTGCTGACAACACATGATGTGCCTTTGATGATTCCGACTTCGTTCCATTGAACGGATGGCTCCTTCTGCAGCGGTTGATCCAATCTGACCACAGTTAGGCCGCCGGAGGATTGCATAATGGAATTATTGTTAGCGGCATCCACAAGACTATTCAGGCCTACAACAAACGTGTACTTTTCAATGCTGAATACAAAATAATTGTTTACCATGCAGCTTCATGTCACTAACTGACGCATCGCTGAGCTGCCGTTCATCTTTAGAATCGGCAAGCTCTGAACTACGCGATTCGCTGGCCGCAGGGAGAGAAGGAATGGAATCACGGTTTTCGTGCAACGTG